AAGGTATGAGGCTAACACTTAAAGTGTAGTAGTGCTATCCATGTTTATAAAAACTTATGTACAAATTAATGTGTAGGTTATCTGTGTCATGCAATAATATTGCAACTTTAGTAAACCGTGCACTGCGTATATTTGAGGTTACCTCAAGATTGAGGCACCACTGGCGTCGCCATTTATTTGTGACTCTGTGAACAATATTGTTCCATGTTTATTTTTACTTTATTTTTATGATCTTTGTTTTATCTAATATGATGATGATGATGATGATGATGATGATGATGATGATGATGATGATAAATGTTTGGCTGTTGAACTGGGCCTTTCAAGGTCACCATCAAGCCAATTTTCAATGAGCAGCTCCACAAATATTTGAATAAACATTATATTACAAAGAGAAATACAAACATACTTTTTTCTTGGCTTTTTTTCTAACTCTTTCTTTTTTTCTTCTCCTGAAGAATAAGTCCATTTTTTGCGACATTGTTTTGTTAACTGATCTTTCACGGTGCTCTGGAGGTTTTGACGCTCTGCACTTTGCACTGAAGCTAATATTACCAGTGAACTGTTACCTAAAGAGGCCACTAGGGGGACCCTAAGAGAAATTATTTTTTTCTTCTTGCTTGTGTAAAGAATTACCGTACTACTCCGTAGTGAATGATTTCTTCATTCATTCATGAAATAAAAAATAGTAAATAAATAATTGAATCAGAATGTTATAATAAAATTGTGTGTTTTTGTTAATATAATATCATTACTAAAAAAAAACTATCATGATCTTTTGGAACCAGCAGTTTAGAAAAATAGAGTTGAAGCAGCAGAAATATCAATTCACAACCACATTGTAAATGTTACTGGTTTACAAAAAAATTATCTTGATGTTTTCTTTTTTTATGTTTACCTTGCAATGAACCACAACTACCATTATTTATTGTTTGGGAAATTAATTTAACATAAAGCATGTCGTCTACTGAAAAACCTGAGACAGACTTGAAATCAAGGGAACATTTTACTTTGAAACACTTAATGTACTTAATCTAGTACCACAAAAAATGAAAAGATGACTCTGATTTTGATTTTCTTTTCAGTTTCAGAGACTTTCACAGTTTCAGTAAAGTCTCCTGTCTCAGTCCAGCGAGGTCATACAGCCATCTTACCCTGCTGGCTCACTTTCTCTCAGAGTGCAGAAGATATGAAAGTGCACTGGTATCAAGGGAGTGATGAGTATGATCCTCCAATCCTGCTTTATAAGGCAAGAGCTTTCGACTTTTCATCCCAGAAACCTTCGTTCGCTGGCCGAGTCTCATTCGGCTTAAAGGAAGAAACATCAGGTGGATTAAAGGCAGGTGATGTCAGCCTGAAGCTGGAAAACGTCACAATTGAAGATGTAGGAAAATATACATGCTATGTCAGCAGCTCTGATGATGATGACAGTGCATCTATTAGTCTGAGTGTGACAGGTGAGAACCATGAAACAGAACCAAAGAGAATGATGTCCACCGAAGAGAATGATGTCCACATCCTCAATGAAATGATCATCTTCTTATTATTCCAGAAACTGGACGCTCTCCTCTCCTGTCAGCAGTGATGAGAGACCATAAGAAAGTTAACATGAGCTGCCAATCTGACGGCTGGCATCCAAAGCCTGAGCTGAGCTGGTCAGACAGCAAAACAGCTCTCACACCTGCTGATGTGATGTTTAGCAAAAACTCTGCTGGTTTTTATTCAGTCCATAGTTGGGTTCTGGTCTCCAGTCCCTTTGAGGTCTCCTGCTCTGTTGGGCTCTTCAATGAAGAACCAAAAGAGACCAGAATGCGTCTGGAAAATCCTTCATCATTAGAAGATGGTACATGGTTTTACCGTCAAGTTTCTTTTATTA